AGAGCACCCTGGGTTCAATTGCCAATACTGGGGGGAGAAAAAAAAATTTAAAAAGCAGAGCCAGAACTTTAACAGTCCTTGGCCTCCCAACCCAGGGCTTTTTCCACTACTCCCTAGCATGGGGATGTGGGAAATGAGCCATGAAGGTATCTCGAGGATGAGAGTGGACCCAGAGGTTATGCGTACCACAGTAGTTCAGGCCGTGACGTCTTCCAACCCCACAGGATGCTCCTGGGGTGTCCAGGGTTCGGATGTTTCCGTAACATCCCCAATTGCTGCTTTCAGATAAGTCTACGGATGGAGAGAAGTTGAACCTAAGACATTGACCTAGAATAGTTCTTATCATCCGCCTATGAATGGAATAGCAACCAGTTTTTTTAAAGGTCATAATAAAACCAATAAGAACAAGAGCTTCACTCTGCAGTTGAAAAATCTTTTGGAGTTTAATTCACAGTGTACTAAGAAATTATCACAGACACGGCTTTGCTGCTGAATTCTCACCTCTTGTCCTGCAGACATGAGGAACTCCTGGGAAAAGCAGATCAGAGACTATCTGAACCCTGGTCCTCTCTTACCACCTCTATGAACTCAGCACGTCTCCCTCAAACACTCCTAACTCGTCCGCCTGGTGGCACATTTATGCTTGCTCTCGAGAAACATGAATAAAGCCTGGATCTCCCAGGAATTGCCACCAAGACCTAAGGCAGGGCAAGTCCACAGCCTGGGACTGGGGTCTGCTTCACCTTATCGCAGTCCATTSCAAGTGGGGCCTACGGTTGCAAAGGCGGCACACGCAGGTGAGGCTGAGGACCAGGGCTGTGCGTGGGGTTTCCTCTTCCTGCTCCTTCTCTTTCTCTACCTCCCATTGCCATCGTAGCCATCACTGAAAGCAAGGTGTTGTTTTGGACACTATTGAGATTTCTCAAGGACCATTGAAGAGAAGGACATTTCTTCTCTTCACACCAGGGAAAGAGTGAATGAGTATTTTTTTGTTTTGTTCTTTCGAACTTATCATTTTTTATTATGGTAAAATATATATGACATTAATTTATCACTTAACCATTTTTAAAGTATATAATTCAGTGATATTAAATATAGTTATGATGTACAAYCATCGCCACCAACCATTTCCTTGAATTTTTTCATTTTGTAAAATGGAAACTGTTACCATTAAACAATTAAGTCTCTATTCCCTGCTTCCACCGCTCCTCACAACCACTATTCCACTGTCTCTCTCTATGGTTTGCCTATGTTATGTAACTGGAATCATACAGTATTTGTCTTTCTGTCTGGCTTATTTCACTTAGCACAATATCCTCAAAGTTCATTCATTTTACGCCATATGTCAAAATTTTCTTCCTTTTTTAAGGCTAAATAATAWTCCATTGTATGGACATACCACATTTGCTTACCCATGCATTTTTTAGACACATGGGTTGCCTCCATTTGAGTTACTGTGAAAAAGACTGCTATGAACGTAGTGTACGAATATCTTTTTAGTACTTTGCTTTGAATTMTTTCTGGTATATACCCAGAAGTGGAATTTATGGATTGTATCGTGACTTCATTTTTAAAGTTTTGGGGAAGCAGCATTCTGTTCTCCAGCCCTTATGCCCTTTAGTATTTCTACCAACAGTGTACAAGAATTCTAATTTCTTCACATCCTCATCTCCATTTGTGAGAGTAGCTAGTGGATGAGATTTCTAACATGTAATCAGCCCTCTTTATCTGTGGTCTCTGCATCCATGGATTCAACCAATGGCAGATCAAAAATATTTAGGGAAAAAATGTACCAAACATGTACAAACCTTCTGTTCTTTTCACCACTCCCTAAACAATAYAGCACAACAGCTATTTACATAGCATTTCCATTGTATTATTTACTATCATCTAGAGATGATTTAAAGTAGACAAGAGGGTGCACTTGGATTCTATGCAAATACTATGCCACTTTACATAATGGAATTGGCAACCAAAGATTTTTGGTATCCTGGGATCCATCATCCCTCCCCTGCAGATACTGAGGAACAACTATAAATTTACAATTCCCTGCAGGAGGTGGGTGCAGGAGCCAGTAACCAGATACCTTCAGGGGACAGGAAATTGCTCCTTGAGAAAATCTTCTCATCCTTGCATCCTACATAAGCCTCTCACTAGCATACTTCTTAAAATGTATTTTATTCTTTGATGAAAGTAGATTATATCACCAAATCTTAATGATTTTCAGGTCTGTGCAGTGTGTCTATTGATCATCTGTATATTAACATAAGTGCATTTTTAATTTCTTTGTCTTTACTGACAGCTTCATGAGATTGACATCTGAAAATACTAGTATTTTGGGTAAGTACTTCTACCTTAGAGACTAGGGATGAGTTATCTGAAAGAAATGTGGAAATGAAAAGACCTTGTCTTTTGTGAACATACTAAAAATTAAATAAGCCAATATGTTCTTTTTAGCTTTTTAATCAGTGCACATTTATCTTTATGATAGGTGACAAATTGACAAATACCCTTTATATTGCACTAATCTGTCACTCAATGCTGCCTGCCATGAAGACTTCTCCCTAACCACATTACATTCCCAATGCTTAGCACCTTGTAGGAATTCTTAAAATATTTGTTGAATAAGTGAATCAATAAATAAATAAATGAACTAATGTAAGGCCCCATCAGAGACATTTTTTCAATTTAGAACCAGGAAAAGTTGTGCTTTTCCTAAGGAACCATTTACTCCTTTAACTTGTTAAAAAAACATATACTTTCACTTGTTAAAAAAAAAAAAAAAAATCCCCGCTGCAAGAAACTTTAGGTCAAAGCTGAAATTCAATTGAAGTGACTCTGTCAGCCTTGGTGGTTGCTAGTTTGGTCACATCTTGATTCCTTTGGTACTAGTTTTCTATTTGAATTATATTGGTATTACTATTGCAACCACCTCAATCTTTTTGTGGAACTATATGGTCTATAAATAAGTTCAATAAATACTATTGATGAAGCAGTTTTTATAGTAGGCAATGAGCAGGTGTATATTTACACTTGGTGTATATTTACAAGACTTTAATCCTGTTGTAAACTACCTGCTTTATAGCCCATCCCAAATTCTGAAACATTCAGGGGAGAGACTGCTGGTCAATCACTGTGCCTAACTTCAGGATTTATTGGATGTCTTAGGAGAAAAATAATGTTTCCACCTCAATTTCAAATATGAGAGAGGCATCATTTTCTTATGTTTCTCCATCCCACCTCCAAGGTCATTTGGGAAAAATGAAACACACTCACCAGTCAAGGCCAAGAGGCCCAGCAACAGCCACAAAGCAGACATGTCAAGGGTCTGGCTCTACAGCTCCTGAAATCAAAATTAGCTTGGAGATGAGAAAACAGCAATCGCTGTCAACAACATGTAATGCTCCTATGGGAGGAAGATGAATGGAACAAGTTCACTCATCTCCAAAGAAGGAAAATTAATGATTTGGGTCACAGTTAAAAATCAAGAGTGGGACAAATGCTCCACCTATCCTTTAATTAGCTTAAAAAATGGGAAGACTTCTGCTTGGTCTATAGGAACTCAATATAGCATCCAGACACCGGATACTAATTACTTTAAGACGCCAAGATGCTTTGGTTCTCAATACCGAGAACATGGTAACTGGGTTCAAGACTCAGAAAAGCAAATATTTGATGCAACTGTCTTATCCCAAGAGCCTCTTCATTATCAAACTATAATGTGAAAAGGAGAAGTTCATATTGGTCATTTCTCTGAATCTGGATTCTTTTCTCTCAATTGGAGGAAAGGCCACACTTCTTCAGGGCCTTGGAATGGCTACTGAGACTTAGGATATAGGAGGGAGCCTGAGGGCATTCCAACTCCTCAGCCCCAGTCTGGGAATCCAGACCCCCTTGATGACTTTGAACCATGTTCCCCAATATCCCTCCGTAAAACTCCTGGGCTGGAGCCACAGAGAATGGAGAGACAAGTTCCCAGGAAGCTGGGTCGTGGGCAGGGGTCCCAGAATCCACTCATGAGGGGCTTGCTCAACAGGCCATTTGACAACTGACTGCCATGAAGATCATGTTCCCATGCTTTCTCTCTTATTCCAGCCATTCTGCCCGTTACTACCACAGCCCTTGCCCCTACTAGCTACCAAACTAATGCATAAACGCCACCAAGAACAGTTGACCCCAGGGAATGCTGGAGGAACCAGCTCCCTGCCCCCAAAACTTCCACTTCCCCCATCTCCATCATCAGCAGAGCCTGGTGACCTGCCATTTTGAATTATTACCATCATTATGTGTAGGGGCCTGAGAATAAACCTGGCACATAGCACTTTCTYTCTCTCTCTCTCTCTCTCTCTCTCTCTCTCTCTCTCTCTCTCTCTCTCTCTCTTAAAGCAGGGGATGAAACCTGGGGACTCCTGCATTCTAGACACATGCTCTACCAACTGAGCTACAACCCCAGCCCTCTTTTGTTCTAAAGTTATTCTTACAGGCAGTTTCTTCCAAATACCTAAGAGGTGCCATCTCCAGATGGAGAGGCATTAAGGAATTCATCTGAGTTCCATCTTCTTAAACTGAAGGAGCAGGTGGCCCTCTGATGAGGCTATACTTTGTTTTTCTTCCCTATGACTTTGAGATGATCTGTCTGGTTTTGCTTAAACAGAAAATGTCATGCACAACTGCCAAAAAAAGGTATAGGAACTTGAGATGTTAATTGGGTCCGCAGGAACTCGGATTTAACAACTCAATAAGAATCATTTATTTTAGCACCCCCGAGCCCCCAGCCCTGAATGAGAGAGGACAATCAATTCCAGGAAAAAGGAATGGAGAAAGAACAGCATGAGACTAGAAAATGCTCATGGTCTCATGAAAATCTGTCTTGACAGGCAACTCACAGCTTTATGGAAAGGACCCTTAGAAAAAAAGCACCGCTCACATTCAAATGCCAAACCCGGCGTATTTCACTCTTTTCTGCTTTTCCGAGAAAGAAATATACTTTCTCTTGGAAACCCAGGTGGAAAGATTTAGCTTTTATGAGTGCTTTCTCCATTTTCCAAGCATGGAATTAAATATCTATGTTGAGCAAGCACTTGGTTGAATCTAAGTAAATACCTGTGCCATATACTTAGTAACATAGAGTTACTTTGTGGTTGCCTTTGAAACTAGATCTTCAAAGTAATTTTTCCCCATTATATCAGGGAAGAGCAAAAAGTGACAATGAGCTTCTCATATGGATGGACAAAGTGTTCCGTCCATAAACAGCAGGTCGAGGCAACTCAAACTCTGTGGCCCAACTTTATAGGCCAGAAAGTACTCTATGTTTAGAAGGGATGGTGAGGCATCCCTAGGGTGTGCTCAAGGAGTGTCCGTTGGTCACTGGGACTAATATGTTAATATCCCTGTGGCTCACTGCACTCAAAGCCATCATAAAAAGGTTAGGCTAAGACATATACTGAGTCTCAATGCCCAGAACAATATCTATAATGGCAAAGTGGTTGCAAATAGCAAAGCGGTGTGACAAGCTGAAGCCACAGGCCACCCTGGAAACTGATAACCGGAGGATCTCTCAGAGTCTAGTTCAAGTTCCTGCTGCCTCGCCAAGATATCTTTTTCTGTATTCTTTCCCCTGAGCACTTTGTGTATGTGTGTGTGTGTGTGTGTGTGTGTGTGTGTGTGTGTGTGTGTGACTTGCCGGGGATGGAACCAAGGGCACTCTACCACTGAGCTACATCTCCAGTCCTTTTATTTATTTATTTTTTGAGACAGGGTCTCCCTAAGCTACCCAGGCTGGTTCTCAAACTTGTGATCCTCCTGCCTCAGCTTGCGGAGTCACTGGGACTACAGGCGTGCACCATGCCACTGGGCACTTTGTAATTCCCAAAGCCTTGTTCAGATTTACAAGGGATAAGGATCATTTCTTCCTCAGTTCAATTGTTTCCCTAGAAAAGGTGGAAATATGGCCTTTTGGTCCTTGTAGTTCTCTCACCACAGAACCCCCATTCCTTTTCTATGAACGTCTTCCATCTTTACCTAAACTTTGAATAAGAGCATCCCAGGTGGTTGGGGCCTTCCAACCAGCTTGGAAATGTGCTATATTAGCACCCTGACATGCTGAGAGGTGAAGGTGGCCCCATCTGATCCTGGAAGAGCTGAAAACCACCCCAGGCATCCACATTAGGCATCCTCCTCCACCAAGTTACGCTGTGGCCCTTGGTGAGTTTCTGGAGCATCTCTCCACTGAAGCTCCTTGTGGGCCTGTGGACCTTTCCAGGGGCCTCCCATCTGAGTCACACCTCTCTGGCTGTCCTGTGTCTCCCGCCTCCTTACACCACAGCAACACCCCAGTCTTGCACAGTGCTTTACATCAACGGTCCTCAAATTAAAATGACAGTCACGAATATAAAATGCTTCTGCCACTGTGACTGTATTTTCTTAAGGGAAAAAAAACCCTAACCTAATGGATGGTATTAGAGCAGATTATGCTAAGTGAAGCTAGCCAAGCCCTGAAAAACAAATGCCAAATGACTTTTTTGATATAAAGAGAGCAACTAAGAACAGAACAGGAAGGAAGAGCATGAGGAAAAGACTAACAGTAAACAAAGACGAATGGGGGGAGAGAAAGGGAGAGAGAAGGGAAAGCATATGGAAATGGTAGGAGACCTTCAATGATACACAAAATTATAAGAGGTTATGATGGGCAAGGGGGAGGGGAAAAAAAGGGAGAGAATTGAACAACAGCAGAGGAGGTAGAGAGGGAAGATGGGAGGGGAGGGGAGGGGAGGGGGGATAGTAGGGGATAGGAAAGGTAGCAGAATACAACAGTCACTAATATGCCATTATGTAAAAATGTGAGTATGTAACAGATGTGATTCTGCAATCTGKATTTGGGGTAGAAATGGGAGTTCAAAACCCAATTGAGTCAAATGTATGAAAGATGATTTATCATGAGCTCTGTAATGTTTTGAACAATCAATAAAAAAAAAAAACCTAACCTTTTAGAGTGAAATTTAAGGCCATGACATGACAGCTCATTTTAAACTGTCTTTTTTTTTTAATTGCCTTTTCCATGGTCTAAACATGTGTATTTGCTGAATTTGAGTTGTGAGCCCAGAAAAACTCAAGAAGGTTTGGTTGATTCACTTGCTTCCCTGTGAGCAAATCCTTTTCCTGCTGAGGAGACTGTGCACCTCTCTGCCTACTTTTCCCTCTGAATTTGGGGTTCCTGGAGCTAAGAACTCCAGGAAGGCTCTTCTCCTTGTGTTGGACTTGCCTAGGAATAGGAATATCCCCTTCTGAACAAAGATCAAATCAAGAGACCTGACCTGTGTTCCATGCACACACTCTGGAAGCTTATCTCTTTTTTACTCTAATAGCTAAGACTTAAGCTGTTAGATAAGTTGACTTAGTTTTTTCACAGTTTTCAGAGAAAAGCAGACTCTCTTGTAGACCCGACACTTACAGAATGTGGGATAGCCTAACATTGGCAAGACTGGAGCACAAGGAAGAGATTTACCATCCTGCAAAATACAAACACCTTCATCCTCTGGCTTTGCATTAACAAAGAAGACATCCATTGGATCTAATACTACTACTATTAAATGCACACAAGATTTTGTTCTTCCATTCTTTGTTTTGCACATGCACACAAATCCAAAAGAAACTATATATTAATAGAAATCTAAGTCAGATGAAGTGGCATACACCTGTAATTCCAGCGACTTGGGAGACCGAGGCAGGATGATCGAAAGTTCAAGGCCAGCCTGGGCATCTTAGCAAGATGCTGTTTTAAAATTAAAAAGGTCTGGGGATAAAGCACTTGCCTAGCATGCATGAGGCCCTGGATTTAGTTACCAGTACTGGGAGAAAAAAAAAAAGATCTAAATTTTTGTAAGTATTGTAATGAACAGGAAAAAGAATTTCCTATCATCTATATAGGTTTCAAAACTTGTTTTTTCTTGCAAGTTCCAAAAGTTTCATCTGATCCAACCTTTCTAATCCACTCAGCAGCAGATTCACAATTATTATCAATCAACCTCCTTATACTAGATTCTTTTTTTTACCCTAACTTAGCCCGGCACAAGTTCCACACCTGTTTATACTCACCTGTCTTCAGTTAGCTCTTGTGCTTAGAAGCAGTGAGTCTACTGTGCTTTATATACAGTCCCTGTCCTGCTTCCTCTTTTTAAAGTGTTGACCTCATCCTATTATAATATTTATGGCTAGGTCTCATAAATTTTAGTAATAATCATAATAATTACAAATACTTTGAACTTATTTGCTTAAGCCTTTTATTTAAGAGTGTCTTGGCATTTTGCAAACATTAACCAA